TAACCTTTGCTGGCCTAATTGACAGTGCGTGAATGTTCTCAATTAATTTGGGTGGTGGGTTAGCCTTGTGGTTGAAGTGATCGCTCTTCACGGCGAAGACCCGGGTTTGATTCCCCACGTGGGTACAATGCATGAAGCCCATTTCTGGTGTCTCCAGCCGTGATGTTGCTGGAATATTGCTAAAAACAGCATAGTACCATACTCACTCACTCACTCACTCAATTAAGTAAGTCTTCATTCAGTAAGTGTGAGGGTGGAAGACCCCTCTCCCACTGTGACCAGTGGATGAGACCATGCTGGTCTGAGGTTGTCAATATAATTCTTGTCCTGACAAAGCTATGCCAATGTTGTGTGGTTGAAAACAGTGGATTGAGGTGATTGACATGCGGTGTGTGGTTGAAAACAGTGGATTGAGGTGATTGACATGCGGTGTGTGGTTGAAAACAGTGGATTGAGGTGATTGACATGCGGTGTGTGGTTGAAAACAGTGGATTGAGGTGATTGACATGCGGTGTGTGGTTGAAAACAGTGGATTGAGGTGATTGACATGCGGTGTGTGGTTGAAAACAGTGGATTGAGGTGATTGACATGCGGTGTGTGGTTGAAAACAGTGGATTGAGGTGATTGACATGCGGTGTGTGGTTGAAAACAGTGGATTGAGGTGATTGACATGCGGTGTATGGTTGAAAACAGTGGATTGAGGTGATTGAAGGTGATAACTGAGTATTTACCTGTGGAGAAGAGTGGTGTCGCTACTGCATTTTCCGTTTGCTATTTTAAATTCTTGTCATATTGGTAATGTTTTGGAGGAATGTCCTGTCAAAAATTGTAAAAACCATGCAGATGTTCCAGAATATCATCAGGCTGTGGCAAAATGACAGCGCTCTGTTACAGATTCCAGCCATGTGTTGATACCAGCACTGTTTATTACATTTTCCCTATAAAACCAATTTCTACCAAGGTTCCTTATTCTCTGACCACATGCTAAGCCAATGTGTGTGTACATATTTATTTCGTATTAATCCTGCAGCATGCTTCAAGTACTTGCAACCTGTACACTGATAAGTCCCCCTATCAACAGGAAGTCACATGACCTGGTATCGTCATGGGATACCACTGCACTAGAGCATGATGGGAGATATGATAGTCTGATCTGCCTGGTAGTAATCACATCTTAGCAGCCAGAAATAGATGCTTGCCAGTTTTTTCCTGATTTGAACTTAGGTAATAGTTTAGAGTTGATAAGCTTGTCAGCATCTATCCTGTGGAACTATCATTGAAAGAAGAACTGACTGTCATGTTCCAACAGGCAAGCAAGCAGCCATGAAACAGGAGAAGTGTTGATTTTTTCACAAGGAAACTTTTTACATTTTTTTTTTTTTTCAGTGTTTCATAAACTGTTTTGCCAATTGTTGTGTGGATTAATTTATAAGTTGTTGTGGTAATGCATGTAAACAAACTGTGAATGGGGTACTGTTGTGAAGTAGAAAACGAGTTGAAGGTTGACAATGTCTTGTTGTATCATAGGGTAGCTTTATGGTCATACAGGCTGGTTGAAGTTCTTGGAGGCCATACACTGCAATGTCCCTAATCGTGCAGGCTGGTTGAAATTCTTGCAAGCCATACTCTTGTCTCAACCGGAAATGACATGACCTGGATGATGTTCACACAAATGTAAATACAGGGGGTGTACATCACTTCATCGCTGTGCCAAGTCACAATCTGAACACAGGCCCTTCACAGTTCTGATGTGGGTGGCCAGTAGTACCTGTGAACATGATTTGGGCATCAATCTCATTATATATAATAATATATATGTCATATTGTTGTAAAACCTAACTGGTTGTTGTCAGGTACAACTTGGTTTTGTCCAGTGTAACTTAGCTTTGTCAAGTGTGAGTTGGTTTTGTCAAGTGTGTCTGGCTCTTGTCGTATGAGACTTCTTGTCATATGTGACCTGGTTTTCTCAAGCATCACTGGGTGTTGTCCTATGAGACAGGGTGTTTCCCTGTGAGACAGGGTGTTGTCCTGTGAGACAGGGTGTTGTCCTATGAGACAGGGTGTTGTCCTGTGAGACTGGGTGTTGTCCTATGAGTCAGGGTGTTGCCCTGTCAAACAGGGTGTTGTCCTGTGAGACAGGGTGTTGTCCTATGAGACAGGGTGTTGTCCTATGAGACAGGGTGTTCTCCTATGAGACAGGGTGTTGTCCTATGAGATTGGGTGTTGTCCTGTGAGACGGGGTGTTGTCCTGTGAGACTGGGTGTTTTCCTGTAAGACAGGGTTTGCCCTGTGAGACAGGGTGTTGTCCTATGAGACAGGGTGTTGTCCTATGAAACGGGGTGTTGTCCTATGAGACTGGGTGTTGTCCTATGAGACATGGTGTTGTCAAGCATCACTGGGTGTTGTCCTATGAGACTGGGTGTTGTCCTGTGAGACAGGGTGTGAGACAGGGTATTGCCCTGTGAGACAGGGTGTTGCCCTCTGAGACAGGGTGTTGCCCTGTGAGACAGGGTGTTGTCCTATGAGACAGGGTGTTCTCCTATGAGACAGGGTGTTGTCCTATGAGAGAGTGTTGTCCTGTGAGAGTGTTGTCCTGTGAGACAGGGTGTTGTCCTGTGAGACAGGGTGTTGTCCTGTGAGACAGGGTGTTGTCCTATGAGACAGGGTGTTGTCCCTGTCCTATGAGACAGGGTGTTGTCCTGTGAGACAGGGTGTTGTCCTGTGAGACAGGGTGTTGTCCTATGAGACACATGCCTATGGGTGTTGTCCTGGTGAGACAGGGTGTGAGACTGGGTGTTTTCCTGTAAGACAGGGTATTGCCCCTGTGAGACAGGGTGTTGTCCTATGAAACAGGGTGTTGTCCTATGAGACATGGTGTTGTCAAGCATCACTGGGTGTTGTCCTATGAGACTGGGTGTTGTCCTGTGAGACAGGGTGTGAGACAGGGTATTGCCCTGTGAGACAGGGTGTTGCCCTCTGAGACAGGGTGTTGCCCTGTGAGACAGGGTGTTGTCCTATGAGACAGGGTGTTCTCCTATGAGACAGGGTGTTGTCCTATGAGAAGGAGTGTTGTCCTGTGAGACGGGGTGTTGTCCTATGAGACAGGGTGTTGTCCTATGAGACAGGGTGTTGTCCTATGAGACAGAGTGTTGTCCAGTGAAACAGGGTGTTGTCCTATGAGACTGGGTGTTGTCAAGCATCACTGGGTGTTGTCCTATGAGCCAGGGTGTTGTCCTGTGAGACAGGGTGTTGTCCTATGAGACTGGGTGTTGTCCTATGCCTATGAGACAGGGTGTTGTCCTGTGAGACAGGGTGTTGTCCTGTGAGACAGGGTGTTGTCCTATGAGACAGGGTGTTGTCCTATGAGACAGGGTGTTGTCCTATGAGACTGGGTGTTGTCCTATGAGACAGGGTGTTGTCCTATGAGACAGGGTGTTGTCCTATGAGACAGGGTTTTGTCCTGTGAGACAGGGTGTTGTCAAGCATCACTGGGTGTTGTCCTATGAGACTGGGTGTTGTCCTATGAGACAGGGTGTTGTCCTATGAGACAGGGTTTTGTCCTATGCCTATGAGACAGGGTGTTGTCCTGTGAGACAGGGTATTGCCCTGTGAGACAGGGTGTTGTCCTATGAGACAGGGTGTTGTCAAGCATCACTGGGTGTTGTCCTATGAGACAGGGTGTTGTCCTATGAGACAGGGTGTTGTCCTATGAGACTGGGTGTTGTCCTATGAGACAGGGTGTTGTCCTATGAGACAGGGTTTTGTCCTGTGAGACAGGGTGTTGTCCTATGAGACAGGGTGTTGTCAAGCACCACTGGGTGTTGTCCTATGAGACTGGGTGTTGTCCTATGAGACAGGGTGTTGTCCTATGAGACAGAGTGTTGTCCTATGAGACAGGGTTTTGTCCTATGCCTATGAGACAGGGTGTTGTCCTGTGAGACAGGGTATTGCCCTGTGAGACAGGGTGTTGTCCTATGAGACAGGGTGTTGTCAAGCATCACTGGGTGTTGTCCTATGAGACAGGGTGTTGTCCTATGAGACAGGGTGTTGTCCTATGCCTATGAGACAGGGTGTTGTCCTGTGAGACAGGGTGTTGTCCTATGAGACAGGGTGTTGTCCTGTGAGACTGGGTGTTGTCCTATGAGACAGGGTGTTGTCCTGTGAGACAGGGTGTTGTCCTATGAGACAGGGTGTTGTCCTGTGAGACAGGGTGTTGTCCTATGCCTATGAGACAGGGTGTTGTGCTATGAGACTGGGTGTTGTCCTATGAGACAGGGTGTTGTCCTATGAGACAGGGTATTGCCCTGTGAGACAGGGTGTTGTCCTATGAGACTGGGTGTTGTCAAGCATCACTAGGTGTTGTCCTATGAGACTGGGTGTTGTCCTATGAGACAGGGTGTTGTCAAGTATGACGAGGAGATGTTGTGTACAACATAAAGACACTATCCAGTTTCTTCCAGCTTACATAAGGCCATCCAGCATATCTGTGTTCCTTGTCTTGTCACAAAAGAGGGGAGTATGTGGTCGAAAAGAGAGAATAATATAATACCTTTGTTCGGTATCACTGATACATTGTCTGTCCTTTGTTCAGCAAAGTGCAAAAATGGATCACAATGAAATCTTGACTTCACGTGATAGAAGCCAGTTATGACGTTTGACATGTTCTAGAGGTGCACACGGCTACTTCAGATATTGCAGTGCAACAGGTGCTTGATCAGGTGGGAGAGCTTGGAACCTGGAAGGTAGTAACAAGGTTTCATATGCAAAACAATGAATTATGAAAAATCTGAAGATGGAACCACTCAGTTATTCTCATTTGAACTTCTGGTGGCAGGTTAGGTAATGGTCAAAGTGTTCACCCGTTCCATTGAAGTCCTGGGATTGCCGCTTCTAGTGTCCCCATTATGATATTTCTGAGTATTGCTAAGAGCAGCAACCTCACCGTTCATTTGGGATCAACAGAGATTTATTATGAGACATTTTACTCTCTTCTGTTGCAGATTTCTCGGGAATCCATAGACGCAGTGAAGGACTACTTCCGTGAGGAAATGCAGAAACAGGATTGGATGCTGATTATGGAACTCAAAAAACAGTTTGCAATTATTTGAATAAGATCAACGCTTGTTGTCATGGTCATCTGGATTCAGACTGTTCATAATCATATCTGTTTCTGATGTCACTGATAATAATCTTGGAGCCACAGACATCCGGTTCATTTCATAATTGCAAATGGCAATCAGCCTTTGTACATAGTCTGTGCTTGAGATTCAAAAACATTAATATTCCCTGAAACCTATTACATTGAACTAAGTAAAATCTTTAGTTGATCATCAACTTTGAGCAAGAACTTAATGACTGCATGAACCATTGTACATTTCTTTCACATAACTGGTCAGTTCTGTACATAAGTGCCAACTCTGAGGTACCAGTGATGGGTATTCATGAGGATAGTCAACCTCCTTCAGTCTGCAAGAGATTCCACTGTCCATCATCTGAGATTTCTTACATAATTCAAGCTCCCAAATTCTTTCTACAGTAGTTTAATGATTGTGGGATGGTGGGATAGCCTAGTGGTTAAGGCGTTGTTCATGCCAAACACCTGGGTTTGATTCCCTACATGGGTAAAATGTGTGAAGCCCATTTCTGGTGTCCCTGCGGTGATATTGCTGGAATATTGCTTAAAGTGGCGTAAGACCAAACTCACCCTCACACAATTATTGTAACTGCATGATTGCAATTTGTTGTAAGTAATTCTTATTGTAACATCATTGAAAGTATGTGGATCACATTTAGAAGAAGGTGATAAAACTGTACCACACTGGTCATCATCAACTATATTCCATGAAGACTGCAAGCATTATACACAATGTAATTCGTAAATAATGTTTTTATGGGTGTATGCTGGGACTACAGGTGAAGTATGTATTTAAAACTGAGGAAATAATTGTCATTTTGGAGGCTACCTTGGTAACAGTATATTTCCTGTATATTGTATTTGTTTTTTGCAATATGTTTTCAATATTTTTCTGTTTTGTGGACTTACCTGTTTGAGGTCTTGTGTTTGTGTCCCATCACAGCTTGACGAGGAGGACTTCATTGTAATGTATCATTATAATACCATCAACTTCATTTGTGTGCAAGGAATGAAAACTCAGAGTAGAATTGGTCTTCAGCAACCCATGCTTGACACAAAAGGCGACTATGCTTGTCGTAAGAGGCGACTAACGGGATCTGGTGGTCAGGCTCGCTGACTTGGTTGACACATGTCATCGGTTCCCAATTCCACAGATCGATGCTCATGCCGTTGATCATTGGATTGGTTGGTCCAGACTTGATTATTTACAGACCGCCGCCGCCATATAGCTGGAATATTGCTGAGTGCGGCGTAAAACTAAACTCTTTTACTCACTCACTGAAAACTTAGATACAATATCTGACAGAATCTGGAAGCTGAGTACTACCAGCTATAGTCCTTTGAAAGGTTAAAGAACACCCGATCCTTCCTATTACTTTAATCTGTTGTCATGACAGATTATCTGTCGGAGTGAGAAAGAATTGTCTTCGTTAAATTCTTTTTAGTAGTACATATTTCCATTTAAATTTACATTTTTAGTAATTGTATTTTATGACAAATGCGGGTTTTTTCTCCAAAGATACATGCTCACCTTAAAGTCTACATTGATTATGTGAAAGCCTTTCTTGTAATTGTAAAGAGGGAAACCTCTCTTCTCACCTGTGTGTGCTGGAGTTAACATTGAAAAAGTTTCCAGCACGTTTGTTTCAGAATGAGTGTCATTTGTAGATATTTCTAAAACTCACATGGAAGTGCAGCATGTTTCAAAATAAAGTAGTGGTGCTGGATATTTTTCCAGATGTATGTGTTAAATCGGTTTTACTTAAACAAAGTTAAACAATGCTATGACATGTCAGAGTTGAATGTGTCTGAGGAAGGGAGGATTCTCATGATATGAGATGATGTTATAATGTACCAAAAAATGGATAGATTTGAAGGAAGTTCTGAGACAGATTGAAGTGTATCAGTGTTGGGGAAACTATGTGATGGTGTTTTCTTTGATAATTTGTGAAGAATTAGAGGGATATTTTTGTAAAAATGTTTGATGTCATTGTGGAGAAGGGTGGTGATCTCTTTACAAATTGATAAAATGTCATCTGTGTCTTTACATCCAGATGAGAAGAATATCTCGATGTCAGTGATGTGTCAACTTGTTGTGGCATACTTGGACCAGGACAATCTTACCTGTGGTCTTACCTGTACTTCTACCATTCGCTGTACAGAGTTGCATCCATTTTGCCTGCCAGGACTTGCATGGTTCAGATCCTGGTTTCTCTGTGATCATAATCTTTGGTTTGTCTGGACCAAGGTTCTGGTCCTAGTTTCACAAAGCAATGGTAGTGCTACAGCTGTCGTAAGTGTATGTTAAATATCAGAGTTACGACTGTCTCAGCACTACGATCCCTTTGAGAACAGGGTCCTGTGACTTAAGTCTGGACACACAGTGATATATATGTAATACTGGCCAGAGAGGTGGTACGACTCAATAATGTATGTTTGTGCTGATGGAAGCATATGTGGGCAAGTATGGAATCACTTTTCAAATAAAGTTTGACTTTGTGAGTAAAGCTTCAATCTGTTTTCACTGTGTTGTATTTACAAAAGTCTGTGAACACGACCTGTGTATAATCTATTCATGTTCTGTATTCGCTATCAGTGTGCACAGACTGTATTTACAGTGTAATGACGGTGTGTGTTCACAGTCAGTGTTCACAGAGTGTAATTAAGGTGGGTATTCACAGTGTAATCATGGCGTGTATTCACAGTGTAATTATGGCGTGTGTATTCACGGTCAGTGTTCACAGAGTGTAATTAAGGAGTGTATTCACAGTGTAATTATGGCGTGTATTCACGGTGTAATTATGGCGTGTGTATTCACGGTCAGTGTTCACAGAGTGTAATTAAGGCGTGTATTCACAGTGTAATTATCATGTGTATTCACAATCTGTATTTGCTGTGTTTAATCATGGCGTGTATTCACAGTGTAATTATCATGTGTGTTCACAATCTGTATTTGCTGTGTGTAATCATGGCGTGTATTCACAGTGTAATTTTGTGTGGATTCACACTGTAATTATGGTGTGGATTCACAATCTGTATTCACAGATAATCCACAGATAAGAACTACCAGAGTTAGATCCACCTCAAGTCAGTCGACATTGTCTTGTGATATTCCTGCTGTGTGGATTATTCCAACGAATTGAGGGCATTGATTGATTGATTGACTGACTGATAACTATTGCCTGTGTTTCATGTCAGTGTGTATCTGTATTTATGGTCATTGTATATTTGCTTCACCATAACCTTGCTTCATCCATGTATTTATGACATCAGTTATTGTCACAATGTATCTTTGCAGTTTTTTTAAGTAATTTGAAAATTTTAGGTTACAATTTTTATCTCACCAGGGTCGAAAGTCCAAGTTAACTATTGACAGGGCTCATTGTTCGTCATCTCTTTGTTTGTTCACCAGATGTATTTCACTTCTAAAATACCTGCAATTGTCAGTTTCATTTGAACAAAATGAAACAGTGAAATACAAATTGTAAAGGAATTCTCATGAAGCTCAAAGCCTCACGAGCTGAAGATGTTTGGGACTGTAGACTAGAATTGAATGGAAATGTATGAAAAGTAGAAGATGTAAGGGCATCAGTTTATCTAAAACTAACTTGGTGGTATTTTGACGGGGTATGTAGCTCAGCAGTGGGGCACAGATCCTGGTGTTTACATGAAGTATGAAGAACCTTTCGTCTGGACTTAGCTTTGTTTTTTCTGTAGCATAACTGATTTGTTCGATTCAGTGATACCCCATTTCATGAAGTTACCTTTGCAAAGAAGTATTCTTGGTATCAAGCTGTCCTCTAGAACTGACCACATCTTATAGCCACAGCCACAAACTACATGCTTGCTTATGATTTCATTAGGTATTGCTTGGTACCTGATCAGTAGTATGGAGACTAAGTTGAAAGTTTCTATGAATGGTATACTTTGGTCTGATATATTAATCTAAATTTGGCAAAGTTCAGATCATGGGGGTTGTTTTGTAAAAGGAAAGAAAGAAACTTTCATCTGAATAAATTGATGACATAACATAAATGCTCTCAATTTCCTTACCGGTACTGGTATGCAGTCAGTGTACCAGGAGAATATAGTTGTGTTTTCGATAACCCACTGTGGTATAGCTGGCATAGTGCTGAGTGTGTTGGACTGTCAGTGTTGAAGGGTGCTCTAAGTCAGCAGATGGTTCGAGTCTCCATTTGTCTCTGGCGAAAGTCCTTAAGATGCGTCCCTTATTTACTTCCACCAGTTGGTTAGCCTAGTGGTGAAGCGTTGGCTTGTCACACTGAAGACCCGGGTTCGATTCCCCACATGGGTACAATGTGTGAAGCCCATTTATGGTGTCCCCCACCGGGATATTGCTGGAATATTGTTTTTTAAAGTGGTGTAAAACCATACTCGTTCACTCACTAACTGGAATGGGTGGTCAGGCCTGCTAACTTGGTCAAGACATGTTATTGTATCCCAACTGCGTAGAAAGGTGCTCATGATGTTGATCACTGGATTGTCTGGTGTTGTCTCGATTATTTACAGACCACCATCATATAGCTGGAATTTTACTGAGTGCAGCCTAATGAACCAACCAACCAACCAACCAACTACTGTACATGGTACAGCCGTAATAGCCATAACAGCCGTACCTTGATACAATGATACATGGTTGTCCTGTGTCACGACACAAGGATGGGTGTTTTGGACTGTATCTACTGCTGATACCTTGACTGAATTATGTTGGAGCACAGGCAGCCCGGTCATCTGTGGAACTTACAGAGTTGTGTCCCTTTGTGTGCTGCAGTACAATGTCCAGGGTTTGAATCTTAGTTCTGAATACGATTCTTGGTTTGTCAGCACCCAAGTGATTAATGCATTAGTCCTTCATCTCACTGACTTGCCTGTGTCCCTGTACAGTGTAGGAGTCTATGAAACGGCCACAAATCCTTCTCTAAATGTATAGTGTGCTGTATGCCTTGTGTGTAATGCTGCACCTTTAATATCATCTCATCCATATGTTGCCACACCCTCCCAGCATTGTGACAACCCAACTATACATAAATGTGTTGTTTGAATCAAAACTCTAGATTCTGGGTGAAAGCTGCAATGATAAAGCCAGTTGTTGATAGAAATATATATTTTCAAATATGATGCTTGATGTAAAAAAATGCAATCATTATGGAAGAATGTACAGACTGGAGCTAGTGTATATATGTACAACTTGTTTCCTGCACTCACAACGCCCATATATGATTCAAATACTGTTAAACTTAATTTTTTCCACCCCTGCTCTCATTGAAGTTATTCTGTGACCTCAAAGTGAAGGTCACACAATGCCAAACAGGTGAAGGTGATGTTGATTGGGAAATCATATTTGAATCAGTTACCAGTTAACTGTCATGTGTCACATGTCAGAGGACATTCCTGTAAAGTGTTGGACAACCAGATTAGACCCCGCAGTTTGTTGAAGTATATTCTGAGAGCTATCAAGGAGCCTGCAACATCTGCCTTGTTTGGGCAATCTCCATGATTGAGTCGCCTATTAGAACCTGATTGGCTGAACGTTGACAGAACATCCTACTATTATATATGGTGGGAGTCGTTTTGTTTCATGAAGTACCAACCATTTGATTTTTGGGGTTTCTTGGGTCATTGTCAAGAAAACATGTTCCTGAAAATTGAAGAAAAACAGCAAAATTTTCGAGTAAGATACAAAATTACTTCGTGGAGAACTAAAATGCCATGATAACCCCAAGCCCAATTTTCTTCAAGAATACAGTTGATCACATTGTGAAAGTGACCCAGTAAACAGATAATTACTGAACTTGTCAGTGCTATGTGCAAATAACACATCGGTTTCATTGCTGGATGAACTATTTCGGCTAAGGGGATGCTATGGAAATAAATACTACATTTCATCACAAGTGTTTGTGTTGTTTACATGAGGAGTCATCTTCGTTATTTGCTATGTTAGCGAAACCTGTGCGCCACCGTTATGTTGACCAGCGAGTGCACGGATCACAGTCTTTCCAAGGCGCCGCAATCAGCTGTGCAGAGTTGCGTCCACTTTTCATGCCAGAAAAACGTGATCGCGGGTCTTAATCCCATTGATGTTTCTTGGGGTTCCCATGCTCCCGATAA